ATAATTATAATGAGTGATTATATATTGAAACATAAACCATCAAGTTTTCAATTGTGTTATTTGTAAATTAACTTTACAATATTTTTTATACCTTTGGAAAATTAAATAAGAGTCGATTTTTTACACCATAATTACCTTTTTGTATTGTAATTATTTTTAGGAATATGATGACCGACCAGCAATTTCTAGACATAATGGAGATTACGATGACAGAAGATCTTATGCGGAATATAGTAATAATGACACATCGCAACGAACATACGCACAAACATCTCCAAGAACACAATACTCCACAAATGAAATTATAGATGAAAGACGAACAGAAAGAAATAATTATGATTATGACAACAGACTGAAATCTGAATATAAAGAACATCATGACCATAGAATAAAATCAGATTATGAAGAACAACATCAACCACCGTCTCAACATAGACGAATGCCGGTTCATCATAATGTAGAGAGAGTTAGAATTATATTATTGTCAATGTTATTTTGAAGCGTATAAAGTAGAATATAACGAATAAAACGAAATTTTTCAATATTACAGGAAGATTCGAACCAAGTACCTGGATGGGTAAGACATTCGGAAAAGGAAAAGTGCAGATCGCAATTTCATTATCACAGAAGACCTGTTACAAGAGTATGTTTCATATTTTATTTAATTTTATACAAATCAAAGATGGGACAAAATAACATAAAACTTTGTAATTTTAGAACTCCAACATTTTATCAGCTGTATTATGTCTAGTTAAAGAACTTGATTACCCGAGTCTGGAAGTTGTAGAAATGGCTGTTAGAAATCGAATGGATGAATTAGAAGAATGATGTTTCTGACGCCGTCCTCAAAATACTCAGGGGACGGTTTTCTCTCATATGGGTAGTGTTTCTTCAATTTCAAGTCCTGAATTTTCAGATTCTCTTGATAGTATGGTACCTTGCCAGTGTATTGATAACGATGCAAACTGTAATCTTGATCAACATATGTATGATCGACATTCGATCGATGATAACGCCGATAGACGTCAAATTCGTCGCAATGGTCATACAGAAATTTGTTCCATGCGAAGCCCTAAAAATGCATTTGTTCATCCGAATTCAAAATATTTTGGAAATAATCAGAATGCGCATAAGCTTAGAGACTCTGTACCAGATAATCTAATGTCGGTAGTTGGTAACTGCGAAGAAAAAAAAGCAAATGATGTTAGAAGAGTGGCAAGTAGTGACAGCATTCCCCGCAGTAGTTTTAATGGTTTAACTCTAAGTCCAGGATGCAGGGTTTTGAGTCAAGAATGTGTAAGAAGGTCAAAAAGTCCCGATGTTAGAAACACAACTGTTCCACTTCGCTATATTCAGTCAGCAAAAGGTACTTGGACATATAATTTGTAAGTTAAATTGTGAATACATAATAGTAATACTTTCTCGAAATAATAACATTTCATTTAGAAATGTATTTCGAGAAATTCCTAAACACCATTGAAATAATCATTGCGTAACTAAAATGAAATGGCATAATTTTGTCCAGTTTATGAAAAAGACACATATATAAAAATATAAAATTAGAAACAATTGTGATATTTCTCCAAGGAGTAAAGAAAAAAGTTTTAATTAATTCCAATATAATATACAATATACAGTGGGTATAGAAAATATTTGTATCGATTTTAAATAAACAATTGAGGTTTATTAACTAATTCTTGTAAAATAACAAGGTACCTATTTTTAGAGATCTATAGATCAGATACCATGTTCAACGCGAAAGATATTGTTATAGAAGAATTTCTTATGTTTGTAGAAAAATTTATAATATAAACATCGTATAATCTAACTGTATAATGTTTAACTGTATTGATGTATTTGGAAATGTTATTAACATCACAATTTTAGATTTAGTTAATAAATTTCAATTATATGAAGTTTTATTTAAAATTGTTCGGTATACGAATACCCACTGTATGAGTGTACTTAACATAACATGTTTATGTACTTTAAATAAATAATGCAAAAATCACAAATGAATGAATTTTGCAGTGTTTAAGATAAATTTAATATTTTATAGCGTTGATAAGTTACCGAATACGATGTTTTTAATGTTACATTAATTTTGGTATGATATTGTTTATGACTCATAAATATAAATGTTATATGAATTGTATTTTACATAGTTTTTTATAGGAGTTTGTTTGAAATATAGAATTGCTACGTGTTTTCAAAGAATTTCTATAGATTGCAATGTGATGTAATTTACTTAAATCATAATTTGTATATAAAGCATATAATCATAATTTGTACATAAAGCATATAAAAGATGAATTTAAAATCTTAGATAATTTTAATTTTACTTACATTTAATATGTGCAAAAGTTGAATCTTTCAAATATGCAATAATTTATAAAATGAAATGTAACATGATTGCAAATACAATTGTACTTACAAATTTTTAAACATTAACTATAACAATTTTTTGAGTGTTATTGAATACCATAGAAGACTATATTTGTTTTTTTTAAACAAATGTTTTTATAAATATTAAATTCATATTTATTTAAAAAACGTTCAAACCTATGTAAAACTTCGTGTATTGATATTTCTTTAGTCTTACTAGTTTCCATTAATAAATTTGTGTACATTAGTAGATTATAAATGCAATATTTTATTAATATTTATTAAATTGTAAGCAAAATTGTACTTAAAGTGATAATGAGAAAACAAAATATATGGAGTATAAGTCTGTGCAACAGCACATATTGGTAGATTAATATTGAACTGATAAATGTGTATGGCATATTTTTCGGAATGAAATCTTCATATGTTACAAATGGCTGAATGATGTAAAAACTAAAATAAGAGAGCTACTAAGTTCTTTCTACAATATAAACCGTTCCACATAACTATAAACCAATTTTGAACTTAGATTTAAGATATTTTATAAAATATGCGGAACACAATATCTTTTGTTATATAACCGTCCAATTACATTATTTTATAAATAATTAATATTATTGTTAATTATTAGTAATGTTACAAGAATGGTTGTCATAATTAATTGCCTAATATCTGTTCAATATAAAATACAGATTTTGAGGGTCCTTCTTTTTTAACTTAAAATATGTTTTGAAATGAATTATATATGATAAAATCAAAAGTTGTAATACATGTCTTTCATTTTAAATATATGTAATTAAAAAATACTACTATGGAAGTGTTCTAGTTTGAAAGAAAAAATTTAATATTGTTACATGCTTGATCATTCATTATTCGATAAATATTGAATTTCTTAAAAACTAGTTATTAATTATAATATAAATTTTCTTAATTAATTTACATAGTTATAATTTAATTGTAATTATATATTAATATATTTTATAAAATAAAAACGAAGGTAACTACATATGTATCGATTTTTTTACAATCATTTCTTCATTTAGTTTGCTAAAAGAATTGAAATATATACAATTCGCAGCAAAATGCCATTTTACTTGCTTTTAAAAGAATGATGTTCACAACTACGAAATATAAAATAGCGCGCAGTCTCATTTAAATACATTATGTCGATTAATTTTATGTATGCTTCTGTCGCTAAGACAACGCTATTGGTAAACTAACTCATACGTGTACTGAAATCATAAAGGTACTTTGTAATTGAAAGTCAAGGTGAAAATAAGGGAAAAAAATGTCATTATATGCAACGCCAATACTTTATTTAAACATGGGTGGTGAAATGTTATATGTTTTGCAACAAAGATTAAAGGCACAAAGAATAAGTGCTGATAAAACTATACAAGGCTAGTTTAACGTTATACAAAAAGATATTCATTGCACTATTAATATATTAATATATTGGATATTTGTATATATATATTTTTTTTCTATATCTTGATTAATTTTAAAATATTTTTTTTCATTTACAGTGTTAGATGATGTAACTGCTGCTCTACTTAATCCTAAGATACTCTCTTCTGTATTTGAAGAGAAACCTCTAACTAAAATATCTCTTTTACGGTCTACTTTAGAATGTGTTGTATTATCATCGATAATGAAACTTGACAAAAGTAGTATGAATAAACTGTTTGATTTAATGATTATGATGGTTAAATATCAGTTAATTGCAGCTACAGGTCCTGTAGAAGTTGTATTGTTAACATTGAATCATACAGATGCAATGCGCGATATGGTCACAAATACAAATGCTCAACAATGTGTTGGATTGGTACATCAAATGGTAATCGATGTAAGTATTTTGCTTATTGATTGAATTATTCATTTATATTAAAATTTACTAATTACTTTACAGTTTTATAGTACACTAACATTTGAAGAAATTTGGAATGCCAGGAACGATTGTTTGAAAGAATTGCAGTATTATTGCATAAAAGTATCTATTCTTCTGAGACTTGGATTACAAAATGATGATGGCAGTTTTAATTTAACGTATCATAAGTACAATGAGAAATATGAAGAAAACAAAACTCGCTTTTCTGATAACAAATTATGCGACATAGATCTGAAAACCTACTGTGGTGGTTCTTTTAATCTTTTTGGTGAACGAGAAACAATACTGGGTAAAAATATGTAAGTATTAAAGATAAAATTACCAAACTTTTTGTATAAGAAGCATATTCTATAGGTATTCAATGTCGTATGACATGTCAAAACTAACTTCTGAACAAGAAAGTCATAATTACATTAAAGATTGTGGTATAAAAGCAGAGCTCGGTATGTTAGCTGTTCAGTTGGGAACTGAAGAAACTTCGTACAAACGACCTTTTACTTTAAATTTGTTTTCGAATGAAGATAATAGTAATGCAAATGATGAGGAAGATGATTCTAATTTCAAAGAAGACAGTGAATATACAGATACAGTAGTTATAAACTCTGAAAAAACAAAATTTAATGAAGACTACAAAATGAAACTTGATGTCGTACGCGCAGATCTTTTTGAAGATGATCATGAAGCTATAAAACATAATATGAATTTATTAGAACTTTTAGATAAAACAGAATAATTTTATTTAATTTTTACTTTTTCAATTATATTGCGACAATTAATATAATAAGTAAAAATTCTCTTTAATTTTTTATTTACATTTATATATAAATATTTTATAGTATTCTTTCATATAGAACAATAACATTCTGTTTTGTAATGTATATATTTTGTTTTTATATAGAAAAGAATTGTGATCTTATTTTAAATTATTGTATATTATATATTTGATAATGAATTGTAGTTAATGTTATTTTGCATTAAAATTTTATTAAAGTGCACTACAAGTTATGTACTATATTAAATATTACGAAATATTTCTTGTATTATAATAAATATAATTATTTCTAATCCATATAAAAAATACTAGATGTTAAAGAAATGCATTGGGAAATAGTTAAGTTATAATTTAAAAAAAAGTTTATTTTATGATTTAGTCATATCCAAAATATATTTCACTCCTATTCGACCATCTGTATGAATTGCATTAATAACAGCTTCCTGATATTGACAAAATGGAACTAACTTGTGTGGTGGAGCTTTTAATTTCTTATTCTTGAATAATGTTCCTAATTCGCTAAACATATTTTCACGCTCTTTGGAATTCATATTTGTTTTTGTCCATGCTGTCATCCAAAATCCTTTTAATGTTATATCCTGTTAAATTTTTAGACTGTTGGTAAATGTTATTGATTTGATCACAACTAGACTGCAGATTTTTATGCGTTTATACAAAAATGAATATAAGGTAAATTATATGAAAAAATATAAAATATTTAAAATACAATACTCCTTACAATATTTAATAAGCAAATTAAGTTTCTGCGTAATTTTTTTAAATTATCTTTGTAAAAATACAAAATAACAAACAGCTGCAATCTAATTATAACTTGATTTATATATTATTGATCACATTATAAATATTAATTGAAATACCTTAAAAATAAATGCAGAAGTTGGAACTGTTAAAGGTTCTCTGGACATACCACCATAAGTTACCATAATACCTCCATGTGCTAAATGTCTTAAAATCTCCAATGCATTTTGACCACATATACAATTAAGAGCTAATTTTGGTGAAGGTAATTTTTTACTTTTAAAAATCTGAGTTTTCTTTATTTCACTTTCGGTAAGAATTTCATCTGCGCCCAAACTTATCAAGTGATTCTATAAATGTTTCATTATTGGATCAGAATAGAAATTTAAATTTTAACTGTTTTTATACCTTTAGTGCCTCTATATTTGGTCTGTCTCTTATGACGCTAACAGATTTGTAATTCCATATTTTACATAATTGTATAATCATTTGTCCAACAGCTGAATTTCCTCCATTTTGGATGACAGTATCACCAGGTTTTAGTTCTACAAAATCTTTAAGCATTCTGTATGCAGTACATGGATTTACATTTAACATACTAGCTTCTACAGCATCAACTTCTTTTGGAACCTAAGATTTTAACATGGATTAATGTTTGAACCATAGTGATAAATATATACAAATCTTATTTTCTTTGGGAACATATTACATACTTTCATAAGCTCTTCTGCAGTATAATTTGCATGTGTCCTCCATGTTCCTAAATGTATACCATTTGGTATAACTCTATCGCCAACATTTAGATGTTTCACGTTAGATCCAACAGCTATTACTTCACCTACTCCCTCATTTCCTGGAATAGCTGGTAAAGGTGGTTTGCTTGGATATTTACCTTGTATCGTATTTATATCTGCTGGATTAACAGGTGCTAACAACCATTTGATAGAGACCTTTATAAAAAAATTAATAACTTTTTATTAAAATACTTTAAAAAAATTATTTTAATTGAATTACCTGATTATTTTCTGGTTGATCAATAGATTGTGTTGTAACGTGTAAAACATCTACAGGTTCTCCATATTCTTTATAAAGTAAAGATTTTACAAAATCTGTTTTAACAGTAGCGCTCATTTGACGAACTGATGTAAAATTTGTAACAATTGATCGTGATAAAACCAAGTTTCTCACGCATATAACCATTTTAGTGTTCTATGTGATAAATATTCAAATGTTTTTTAAAAAAATAATTCTTTCGGATAATGTCGATAACAACTAAGAAATCATGATCAGTTAACTAATGATCATGCAGTAGAGCACTACAATTATATGTTTACTTATGTACGTTAAGACAAGATTTTAATTCACTATATAATCTTATATATTAAAACAGAATTTTTATTCTTGATCAATACTATTATTATATAAATGTCTTATGTATTAAAGCAAATTTAATTAATTTAATTACTAATTAAATAATTTATTATTATTTTATATTTATATTTATATTTATTAATCGACAATCTTCGCTTTTTATTTCATTTTAATATTTTACAAGTGATATTTAGATAAAAAAGAGTTATGTAAAAATTATTTTCATGTTACATTCAAATTAATATTTATTTTATATATCTTTTATTATTACGAAATCATATTATATGAATCATGTTACATGAATAATTTTAATATCAGTAATACCAAGCGTAAGTTGAGAACTTTCATGAACAAAGAGATAGGGAATTTTTATAATATGAAAAAAGAGAAAGAGAAAGAAAAAGAGAAATAAAAGATACAATCATTTTTCTAAACTTGCGAATTGACTAGTGGTTGCAATTAATGCAGCAAACAGTCATAATTAGTAGTTTCACATAAGCTTGATAACCTCACATCATTATACATAAATTGTATAATCAGCTACGATTTGACATTTCACCATAAGTTTCTCGTTGTCAAAACAGGAGTTTTATACATTGTTATGTACATACGATACAAAAGACCAAATGTGTTAATGTATTTTTAAGGTAAATCATTAGATAAAATTTGATGTTCAAACTGTTTCTATTTTATAACAATGGTTTCGTAGATAAGTCAGAAAATTTACTATTGAGATTTTAATGAAATAAATGAACAATCAATTTTTATACTTTTGATCAATTTGTAACAAAGTGTGAGTGTAATTATTAAAATGTTGTAAAAATTGGTACTACCATACGTATCTGTTTGTAAATTATTAATTGTGATTTAGAAAATTAGAAAAATGATGGCTTCAGAGATAGGTTCAACGAACAATGAACCTGTACATGTCAAGATCAATAGTGAAAAAGCTCCTTTAATCCATGGAAGAAGTGTTCTATACAGATTAAGTAATTTCTTTAAATTTGGACGAGTACAACATGCAGAAGGAGATGGATACGTAGAATTTGGTAGTTTAAATGTAGATAGCAGCCGTACTTTGGGAACATTTGCTGGTGTATTTAGTCCTGTAACATTATCCATGTTCAGTGCCTTAATTTTCATACGAATGGGTATGAATTTTATAGAAGTAATACAAAATACTTGATTAATTTTGTTTTTATAATTATATATGAATATAACTTCATAAGAATAAACTTTGCATTATAGGATACATTGTGGGCAATGCAGGATTATTTGTCACTTTGATACAATTTGTAATTGCATATGGGATTTTACTATTTACTGTAGCATCTGTGTGTGCAATTTCAACTAATGGAGCAGTTGAAGGAGGCGGTGCTTATTGTATCCTTGTTTAAATTTTATTATTTTCAATAGTCTGTTACAAATAAAAATGAAATCCATTTGTTAGCTAGAGATAAGATATGACTTATATTTCTTGTGCTTTTAATATATGTATATTAAATATGTTAGAGAATGATAAAGATGTTTAATTTTTGTCTTTATTATTAAATTATTGATATATTAGAATTATATATCAAGATATAGTAAACATCAAAACATTATAATGTAGAATTTGTAATATATGTATATATATTTTCTTTTGAAGCAAGTTTTTAATAGAAATTGCAAGATATTGTAGAATTTGAAATACATTTTATATAAATTTTTCTTATTAATTATTGTACAGTTATGATTAGTCGTACACTTGGACCAGAATTTGGTGGTTCTATTGGTACGTTATTTTTTATGGCTAATATTGTATCAAGTGCTCTTTGTATTTCTGGATGTGCAGAAGGTTTGATAGAAAGCTTTGGACCATCTGGTTATTTGTCTGGTAAAAGTGCATTGATACCAGATGGCGGGTGGTGGAGATTTTTATATTGTTCTATATTAAATACTGCCAATTTAGTGGTATGTCTAATAGGAGCTGCTATGTTTGCAAAAACTAGTGTTGCAATCTTGGCTGTTGTATGTATCTGTTTAATAAGTGTTTTTATAAGTTTTTTGGCCAAAGGATATATGGAGGTAATATTGTAGAAAATATGAAAGTTATTAAGTGATATAGCGAATACATGATTCATCTTTTATTACAGATACCAATTCCAGATGCAAATACATTGGTTCAAAATGCAACAGAACATGTTAATGGCACTTACACAGGATTATTGTCATCTACTCTTGTGGGTAATCTTTATCCAAACTATAGTGCAGATTATTCAAGTAAAGGAGCAATGACTGATTTTGCAAGTGTTTTTGGTGTATTATTTAGTGGTGTTACTGGTATAATGGCTGGAGCTAATATGAGCGGTATTTATAAAAACAAAATTACCAAATATATCAATTAATATAAAAAATAATTTTGATTCTTATTCATGTTTTAAATTTTAATATATGATAATTATTTTTATAGGTGAATTGAAAAATCCAGGAAGGAACATTCCACGTGGAACTTTGTCAGCAGTATTATTTACATTTATATGTTATATTCTTTTATCTATTCTTACAGCTGCTAGTACAAGTCGATTTTTATTGCAAAATGATTTTATGTATATGATGCCAATTAATATTTGGCCACCATTTGTGGCAGTTGGTATATTAACAGCAACATTTAGTGCAGGTTTAAGTAATTTAATAGGATCAAGTAGAGTTTTAGAAGCTCTGGCGAAAGATAACGTGTTTGGTAAGTGATCAAAATATAAAGATTGTATAAATTTTATTTGTATTTATTTATTTTGTTTGTATCTTGGATTTTAATATTTGTAGGTTCTGGTTTAAACTTTATAATACAAGGAACATGGAAAGGAAATCCAATTGCTGCAGTTTTAACTTCATGGACTTTAGTTCAAATAATTTTATTAATAGGTTCCTTGAATATCATTGCACAACTTAATTCAGTATTGTTCTTGCTAAGTTATTTGGCTACTAATCTAGCCTGTCTTGGACTTGAACTTGCAAGTGCTCCAAACTTTAGGTATCTTTTATTTCAGATTTGTATAATCTTTAATTTTTAATTTTTAGGAAGATGGAGTAATTATAATGTCCGTATATTTTTTTTCAGACCAACATTTAATTATTTTACATGGCATACAGCTACAATTGGTCTTCTTGGTACATTAATAATGATGTTTGTTATAAATGGTATTTATGCTTCCAGTAGTATAATACTTTGCTTAATTTTAATCATTGTGTTGCATTTATTTTCTCCGAGTAAAAATGCCCCTTGGGGGAGCATATCTCAAGCACTTATATTTCATCAAGTCCGGAAGTACTTATTAATGTTAGATTCACGTAAAGATCATGTAAAATTTTGGCGACCACAAATGCTCTTAATGGTAGCATCTCCACGATCAGCGTGCCCACTTATAGATTTTGTAAATGATCTAAAAAAGGGAGGATTATATGTAATAGGACACGTAAAAGTTGGAGAATTTTTAGGCCAGAATATTGATCCTACTATAGAAGAGTATCCACATTGGTTAAGTTTAGTTGACCATATAAAAGTAAAGGCATTTGTCGAGTTAACAGTTACAAAAACTGTACGTGAAGGACTACACCACTTAATTAGAATATCAGGAATGGGAGCTATGAAACCAAATACAATTGTTCTTGGTTTTTATGACGAAGAGACGCCGATAGATTTTTTCAAGAATTCACAATATGCAACTGACATATTTGAAAACATTTCAACTTTACCAAACAGTACTATATTTCCTTTAAGACATACAAATGCAGAGAAGAATCTGGATTCAATACAATATGTGGGAATGTGTTCAGACGTGTTAAAAATGAAAAAAAATTTATGTTTATGTCGAAATTTCCATACGTTAAATAAATTACAAATAACTAAGTATGTATACGAGATTAATTTTTCTTTAGTATATATAATTAATTTGTATCATTCCATAATTTTTCCTGTTTTAGGAATTCATCTTTAAAATATATAGATGTATGGCCCGTGAATTTTTTTCAACCAACAGATCAAGATCCATTTGATACAACATCGTTGTTTATGTTGCAACTTGCATGTATTATTAACATGGTACCTGTATGGAAAAACCTGCATCTCAGAGTATTTCATTGTGAAGTTTCAGAAAGTAATGCAAGTTTAAGTATCTCAGATTCACAAAATTCAATCAGCGAATTTCCACGAGTTTCTAACGAACTTCGCATAAGAAAATTATTAAATATGCTGAGAATATCTGCATCTATTAAAAAAATTCCTAATTGGGGAACACAAATAAGTGGGATAAAAGGACATTCTCTTATTGATTCGGTGGAAAGTCAATATGAATCAAGCACCGAAAGTGCCAATATCTTGAGCAATGTTTCACGTGCTTATATTTTGAGGTAAGTATCGTATATCTGAATATTTTATTTTCGTTTTTAAAATGTTCATTTTAATTTACAGTGTAAATCAATTAATTAAACAACATTCTTTACAAACTGCTACAATATTTATGTATTTACCTGCACCCCCAGTATCGAATACATGGGATGAGAGTACTATATATCGTCAATATCTTCAGCTGTTAACAGAATTAACAGCAGATTTACCACCTACAGTATTAGTGCACGGTGTTAGTGCTGTTACATCAACAACGCTATAATAATATGTAAATATAGGAATGGAAATTCTTATTGTTAATTATTGTAATTTTTCTATATAAGAAAGTATTATTCAATGAATAATTTATGTGATTTTAAATTATGATTTATATATATATATATATATATATTACGTTCTTGAAGAAATGATTATTAATATTTGAGAAACGTTTACTATTCAAATAGCAAACATATTTTATTTTGTTTTACAATTGATTATGACTAATTCAGCAATAATAATAATGCTTTTTCATTACGATAAGAAAATCTCGTGACGAATATATGTTATTACTGTGATAACGAATTTACTCTATAAGATAGTTTCCAAATATAGATATTTTTTAAACGTTGTAATACTTCTTTATATACTAATAAGTCTGTAAGCTGATATCTTATTATATTCATATATAGAACTATTTCTATACAAATTTTTGTACTGCACTTAATGTCAAAATAAATACAATTCAGCAGGATAAAACAGTAGCAGGATAAAAATAGATGTAAAATTAAAATAAGAAAATCCTTACTTTCATGTACGCTTTACAAGCTAAATAAAGATTTAAATTAAATAAATACAATTGGTTTTGACAAATATCCCTTATTCTAATTTTTAAAAACTTGTAGAAAGATCTTTATGATATTTTGATCCAATACTGACATTAAAAATTTTTAAAAAAATTGAAATATTAGAAGTATAGTTGACCCTAGGGTTTTGGCGTGTTATCTATTTAATCTTTATATTTTCCTGATATAAAATCCTAAATTTCAAGAATATTTTCTAGTTTCCGAGATGTTCAATCTTGAAAGATTTTCAAATTTATTCAATTTATAGACAGCGCCGCGTAGCGGTGAAACGATTGAACTAAAATTTATCGCTATCCTTATCGCACAGTAGTGCGTTCCTTGTTTACAAATGGTGTTGCCATCTAAGCTTTTTAATTTTTGATTGGAACTAAAAGGGTAAATTGGAAAAATCCGATAGATGGCAGCATATTGCTTTACCGGCCAAATTAGTTCTATATTCTTCCGATAGATGGCAATGCTTGGCTTGTTCATAGATAAGGAGAGCAATACTGTGCGACGAAGACAGTCTTATGTGATGCGTAGACAAGGAGAACAACAGTGTGCGATAAAGACAGACTTATGTAAAGCGATAGACAAGAAGCGTACTAGTATGCGACAAGGATAACGATAGGATTTAGTTCCACTGTTTCACCGCTACGCGGCGCTAGCATTTCAGTGTCCATAAATAAGTTAAATTTTCATTTACGAGAAAAAGCAATTAACAGGATTAATTTATAAATTGCAGTTGTATCTTCGTTTTCAGGTTCTAAACTTCTCTCCTATGTATCGTCTGACCATAAAATATGTAAATAAAGATTTGAAATTTCTACTCAATGCGTCAAAATTTTCGTTCAAATAATGTTTAATTTTTCATAGCTAGTGATGTTCAAGAATTAACGATCTTTAATACGTCTTTCCCATTTTCCATTTTAATAATTCGTAATTTAAGAATACTCGTGGTAAATAAAGATTCGAAAGAATTTTATTATAAATTCCGTTTATATGAATTTATTGCAATATTAATTATAATTTATGTATTGTTTACAGGTTGAAACTAAATCCACAGTTGTTTTTTTCTACTAGTTTTTGACTTATAATTGTGTTAATATATTAAATACTTTATTAATATTTTTAATACTTTGTAAATAGTTTGTTAAATACATAAATCCGTTTAAAATTGATATTGTAAGCAGCAGTAAGCTATTGTGACTTATAACTTATTATGCTTATCCAGATGAGGTATAATTACAATAAATTCTTATAATGCTGTGATAACTTATTATAATATTGTTGTTGAAAGATTACTGAATATTTTGTACATCCAGATATATATAAAAATTGGTCATGCAGGGAAAGAAGAAGAAATTATCATTCGAAATAAAGTTTCTGAATAACGACGTTGGCAATTTTTTTACATGAACATTTAGGATGAAATAAACAGCTGTTCCTACTTTTAGTCGTTCAATTTAAGGCCAGTTATTTTCTACGTTAAAATCTTTATTCTTTCGTGTCAGAGTAAAATTATTTTATTTGTAGCAATTATTCACACTGTACTTTTTTCTTAATCCAAAGTAATTTTACTAGTTTTCTCTTTACCAAAATCATTTCGTATACCAAAGTTTGAAACCTTTAATGACTTGCAATTCTTGAGCTTGTATTTTAACATTCTTGGTACTGTAGCTTTTAATAAAAAGTATGAGCAGCTAATGAAGCTAATGAAGCATCTGAAAAAATCAAAGTTACTTTTCTTGAATTATCTCAAAGAATATAATTGCTAAATTATATAAATTATATAAAGTTATATAATGTTCTAATGTGTTGCAGTGAATATTTTAAAATACGTACATGTATAGGTATAG